CCTCCTCCCACAGGGCACCTTTGCTTACACAGGAGGTGCCAACAGGTTCCCCTAGACTTTCACTTGCCTGGACTCGGGGCTTAGGCCTCTCCATCTCCTCTGAAGAAGCACTAGGAGCCAGGGCCAGGGGCCAGCCCAACCAGATGCTAAGTCTGCATCTCAACACCCCCACAGGCCTGAGGGAGGCCCAGGTATCTGGACTCTGGGGGCCACTCCCAGGCCTGGCCATGCTTAGATTGCCTTCCCCAGCTGGGACAGCAAGAACAGCAGAGCTCTCCAGATGCCACCTCCTCCCTGTGGCCCTGGCTGGCTCTGCAGAGGCTTTGTTGGGGCGGATGCCGGACTGCGGTCAGGCTGCCTAGAGTGTGTGCAGAGAGAGCTGTTGGGAGCAGGGATTGTGCTGGCATTTCCTGGGGGTCAGCTGTTGCAGAGGACAGGCCTGGGCCTGCTGCTGACCTGGGAACAGGTGCGGCGACCAGCCACTGGACTTCGGGACACCAGTGCTGACCCTCGGCCCTCAGAGTGCCCTCTCCTGTGGCACACAGAGCTGCTTTGGCACACGGGGCACTTGGAGTTGGGCTGGAGGCTGCATGTATATGGTCAGGCTGCTCATGGAGATGTGTCCCTCTGTCCCCTCTCCTGTCTTAGCCTGGCCATTGGCTGGCATCTTGTGAGTGGTGCATCCTGCTTGTCTTTTTTCTTTTTTTGGTGGGAAGGGGGGGCATTGTTTGGATGGATGTCTTGGGATTGAAACCTCAAGGGGTCCCAGGGAGAAAGATGCTTGGCTTCGGCTCAGCCTCCCCTTCTCTGCGCTGCTTTTAAGAGAGAGGGAGAGAGAGAAGGGAGAAACACGGAGGATAAATGCATATGCATGCTGTGCTTATTTGGGTTCACAAGTACTTTCCTTTATGCATTTATACCTTAATTATGAGATCTTATTTTAATTTTGAAATTAGACAGTAACAAGAAAAGCCATTCACGAATGCAGATGACAGTTAACAACTCCGCCTCCCCACCCCGCCCCCACTTACCACCCTCCATTTCTTCCAAGCCAAACCCACCCCTCTAGGGCAGTCGAACGGCCCCCTGTGGGTTTCTGAGACTGCTCGTCTTTGGGGTGGGGGGTGGACAGACAATCCGGTCTTTCTCTCAAGGAGTGGCTGTTGGGGTTGAACTCTGGACCTTGTGGTTGGCAGCCCAGCGCCTACTCCACAGCGCCACCAGGCCCCCCCCTCTGCTGAAGGGCCCTGCAGCACCCTCTTCCAGGCCCCACTGTTCATTTTAAACATTTGCTTCGGCGACCGATGGGCATCAGTGATTTTAAGTAAGCTCAATGTGCTCCAAAGACTACCTGTTCACACATCTGCTCCTGCTGTGATTGGAGCCCATGGAAATTTAAAAGGAGACCCGCCTGGTGGCATCCTGGTTCAAGCACTTGGCTGCCAACCCCAGAGTCCCAACCTTCCACAGTTCCACAGCAGCAAGAGGTGGCGGTCTGACATGCCAGGATGATTGACTTGGGACCCTGTGGGGCGGCTATGAGCTGGAATGGACCTGACAGTGGACAATCTCACAAAATCTTAAAGATGTACTCCTTTGATTTACTTTTAAGACCGTTCATCTTTGATAAGAAGTCAGAGTTGTAAGCTAGGAGACTGAAAGTTTCTGAAATCTTGAGTTTTTGCCAGTTGGGGAAAGCAAATGTGTCAACATGTGCTAAGAAAGCTGTGGGAGTTCTGTAAACCAAAGAAGTGGCCCCGACTTCCGGCTCCCATGTCCGGGAGAGGGCTCTGTGGGTGAATCCGAAGCCCTGCTACGGTTCCTGGGGGCCATCTCCTGCATGCCTGTGCGGCAGAGTCAGGCAGACGGCCCCTACAGCTCTCTAGAGCAGAGGTCGGCAAATTTTCCAGAGGGAAGAGCCAATCCTGCCCCTCACAATTTAAAAATGATTCAAGAGCCATAGATATATATTTTATAAACAAATGAAATCACCATGATCTGAATAATCTCCTTTGAATGTTTGCCATTTTACGTCAGAGCCACAGGTACGCCTCAAAACGGTGGCAGATGGCTCTCACGCCGCCGTTGGCTGAGCGCTGGGCTACACCGTGATCTTTACAGGAGCAGATCCTGTCTGTCCCTGCCAAGGTACTTCACAAGTTCATGCCACAGCCCTTCTGGCTGGGGAGCCAGCCCAACGAAAACAAACGAACTAAGAAACAAAGCCTCACTGCCACCACAAAGCCTCACTGCCACAGAGTCGATTCTGCCCCATAGTGACCTGGGGGGACCGATGAGAACTGCCCCTGTGGGTTTCTGAGACCTCAGCTCTTTACGGGAGCAGACAGCCTCATCTTTCCCCTGCAGAGAGACTGGTTGGTTTGAACCACTGGCCATGGGGTTACCAGCGTAGTACATAGCCCTTGACACCAGCAGGACTCCCTAAGAAGCCACACAATACCATTTTTGCCACCCAAGGCTGTCTAACCAGTCCCATTTTCTGAGCTATCTTTTTCCATCCACATTCCTACTGTGGCTGGTGCTTCTCATCTTTAAAACCTTCAGAGCACCTGCGACCAAAGGTTCTCCTGATTGCACTCCATCCTTGGCTCTCCCTGACCGGGGGCGGGGGGTGGGGTGGGGGGGCGCGGAGTGCTTGCATTTGCAGTCCTGCCCACTGACCCATCCCAAGTCCTGGGCTGCAGCAGGCAGGGAAGCTCAGGCAGGCATGAGGGAGGGTAACAGGGCCAGGCCTGGCAGGCTTCCTTCTCCCGGCCTGCTCCTCTGGACCATATCAGAGGGATGCTCTGCCCACCCCCGCTCTGAAAATCAGCTTCCAAGTCCTGCTCGTTTGTATTCTCGGCAAGGACTGCAGCCTTGATCTTGTCACAGAAATGTCTGCCTTTGAAACCTGCTTTAAAGGAACGTGCGGCCAATGAGTTGGCTGACAGCAATTCTCCTTCTTTATTTTTATTCTTGCGATAGAGTTGTTCTCGGATTGCATAGATCTGTATATAGATATCATATGCATGTGCCTATATGTACAGACACGCATTTAAAGTTTGTGGAAAATTTCCCTGATCTTTTAATCCTATTTTTCCATGAACTTTTTAAAAGCATGGGTATGTGTATGTGTGCATTCCCATGTTTGTATATGTTTCTATTGATGTATTAGAGAGAGAGACATAGGAGAGACTTGAGTGAGTCTAGAAATCAATTTGGGATGTTGGGTAAGCCAGACTGACCTCACTTCTTAGTCTGGCTCAGTAACAGCTTTTGTTGTGATTTTTGTTTTTGTTTTCTCTGACTTCCCAATTTCTGGCTCTGAGTGCAAAACAGCTCTTCCTCAAATATCTAAAGAAGCTGCCTGGGTCCATGTAAGACCCCCGACCTGTTCTCTGCTGTGGATTTCTTTATTCTCAGTACTATCACCTGAGCTTG